AAAAACCATAGTCATCGCCCCGGCATAACCGTTGCTCATTTTTTGGCATTTTACAGCCATTAAACTTGAATTCGACCTGATTTCCATATTTTCATGTGCTATAGCCTACACCTTCCGCCTAGGTTGGGGCCCCCGTACCCGGATCATTAAAAACTTTTCTAAGCCATCAAATACGACCTAAGGAACCATTCTCACCACCTCGCCATGATCGTTCCTCATTTTTTGGCGTTTTACGATCATAAAACTAGAATTATACCCGGTTCTAAGATTTTCGTATGCTATAACTTATTCCTTCCGCGTGGGCCCGTCCCTCTGACACGGACCACCTAAAATTTTTTGGGGACACCAAATACGAATTAAGGAACTATTTTTACCACCCCTCCATGACTGTTATTAATTTTTTAGGCATTTTACGACGATAAAACTATAATTCCGTCGATTCCTAGATTTTCGTGTGCTATAGCCCAGGCCTTCCACGTGGGCCCGGGCCCCCGGACCTGGAGTGCCTAAAAAAATTTCAATCAATCAAATACGGCCTAAAGAACCATAGTCACTGCCCCGCCATGACAGTTCCTCATTTTTTGGCATTTTACGACTATAAAATTAGAATTCGACTTGTTTCCCGAATTTTCATATGCTACAATCCACGCCTTTCGCGTGGGCCTCGGAGGCCCCTGACTCGAACCGTCTAAAATATTTCTTAGAAATCAAATATGACCTAAAGAACCATGGTCAGTACTCCGCCATGACCGTTCCTTTTTTTTGGCATTTTAAGGCTATAAAATTGAAATTCTGCCTAATTCCCACATTTTTGTATGATATAGCCCACGCCTTCCACGTGGGCCCAGGCCCTCGGACTCAGACCGCCAAAAAATATTTCGAACAATCAAATACGACTTAAGGAACCATAGTCTCCTCCCCTCCATGATTGTTCCTCATTTTTTGGCGTTTTACGGTCATAAAACTGGAATTCCGCCCGGTTCTCAAATTTTCATGTGTTATAGCACACCCCTTCTGCGTGGGTCTGTGCCCAAGTACTCGGACCGTTTAAAAATTTTTCGAGCCATCAAATACGACGTAAGGAACCATAGGCATTGACCTACCATGAATGTTCCTCGTTCTTTCGCGTTTTACTGCCATAAAACTAGAATTCTGCCAGATTCCCAAATTTTCATGTGCTACAACACACGCCTTCCGCATGGGCCCAGGCCCCTAGACCCAGGCCGCCTAAAAATTTTCCAGACCTTCAAATACGACCTAAGGAACCATTGTCACCGCCTCGCCATGACCGTTTCTCGTTTTTGGCATTTTACGGCCATAAAACTATAATCTGTCCTATTCCCAGATTTTCGTGTGCTATAGCCCAGGCCTTCCACGTGGGACCGGGACCCCGGACCCGGACCGCCTAAAATTTTATTAGACAATCAAATACAACCTAAGGAACCATAGTCGCTACCCCACTATGACCGTTCCTATTTTTTGCCATTTTACGGCCATAAAACTGAAATTTCGTCCGATTCCTATATTTCGTGGGCCATAGCTCACGCCTTCCGCGTGGGCCTGGGCTTGGACTTAGAACGCCTAAAAAAAATTTGGACAATCTAATATGACCTAAAAAACCATAGTTATCGCCCCACCATGACCGTTGCTCGTTTTATGGCGTTTTAAAGTCATTAACTAGAATTCGGCCTGATTTCTATATTTTTGTGTGTTATAGCCCACACCTTCCGCCTAGGCTGAGGCCCCCGGACCGGACCGTCAAAAAATTTTCTGAGCCATCAAATATGACCTAAGGAACCATAGTCACTGCAATGCCATGATCGTTGCTCATTTTGTGGCGTTTTAAGGCTATAAAAATGGAATTCTGATCGATTCTCAGATTTTCGTGTGTTATAGCCCACGCCTTTCGCTTGGGCACGGGCCCCCGGATCCTGGCCGCCTAAATTTTTACGGGCCATCAAATACGACCTAAGGAACCATACTCACTGCCTCGCCATGATCGTTCCTCATTTTTTGGCGTTTTACGGTCATAAAACTAGAATTCTACCCGGTTCTAATATTTTCGTATTCTATAGCCCATTCCTTCCGCGTGGGCCCGTGCCCCCTGACACGGACCACCTAAAAATTTTTCGGTCCATCAAATACGAATTAAGGAACCATTGTCACCGCCCCGCCATGACCGTTCTTCGTTTTTTGGCATTTTACGACCATAAAACTATAATTCCGCCTGATTTCTAGATTTCGTGTGCTATAGCCCAGGCCTTCCACGTGGGCCCGAGCCCCCCGACCCACGGTACCTAAAACTTTTTCAGTCAATCAAATACGACCTAAGGAACCATAGTCACCGCCCCGCCATGACCATTCCTACTTTTTTGTATTTTATGGCTATAAATAGGAATTCCGCTTGATTTTTAGATTTTCGTGTGTTATAGCCCACGCCTTCCGCATGGGCCCATACTCGGAACGCCTGAAAAAATTTTGGACCATCTAATACGACCTAAGGAACCATAATCATCGCCCCACCATGACTGTTCCTCGTTTTTTGACGTTTTACGGTCATAAAACTGGAATTCGGCCCGATTTTAATATTTACGTATGGTATAACCCACACCTTCCGCCTGGGCCGGGGCCGGGGCCCCCGGACAGCCTAAATAATTTTTCAGACAATCAAATACGACCTAAGGAATTATAGTCACCACCTCGCCATGATCGTTCCTTGTTTTTTGGCATTTTACGGCCATAAAATCGGAATTCCGCCTGATTCTTAAATTTTTGTATGTTATAGCCCACACCTTCCGCGCGTGCCCGAGCCTCTGGACTCAGACCCGAACTACCTAAAATTTAGACAATCAAATACGAGCTAAAGAACCATAGTCATTGCCCCGCCATTACCGTCCTCGTTTTTTGGCATTTTATGGTCATAAAACGGGAATTTGACCTGATTCTAATATTTTCTTATGTTATAGTTCACGCCTTCCTCGTAGGTCAGGGCCCCCCGACTCGGTCTGTCTTTATACTTTTCGGGCCATCAAATGCGACCTAAGGAACCATAGTCATCACCCCGCCATAACTGTTCCTCTTTTTTGGCGTTTTACAGTCGTAAAACTTGAATTTCGTTTGGTTCTCAGATTTTTGGGTGCTATAGCCCACCGCTTCTACATGGGCCCATGCCCCCGGGCCCGGACCGTCTAATTTTTTAGACCATCAAATACGACCTAAGGAACCATAGTCACCGCCCTGCCATGACCTTCGCTCGTTTTTTGGCGTTTTACGGCCATAAAAATTAGAATTTCGCCCGATTCTCAAATTTTCGTGTGCTATAACTCACGCCTTCTGCGTGGGTCGTGCCCCCGAACCTCTACTATCTAAAATTTTTTTGGGCCATCAAATAAGATCTAAGGAACAATAGTCACTACTCTGTCATGACCGATCCTTGTTTTTTAGCGTTTTAGGGCCATAAAATTGGAACTTCGCTCGATTCCTAAATTTTCGTGTGTATAGCCCACGCCTTTTGCATGAGCTCGGGCGACCGAACCCGGATCACGAAAGATTTAGCCGTCCCATAAAAAATGACCTAAGGAACAATAGTTACTGCCTCGCCAAGACCATTATTCGTTTTTTGGTGTTTTGGACCATAAAACTAGAATTCTGTCCGATTTTTAAATTTTGTGTGCTAATAGCAAATGCCTTCTGCATAGGCTCGGGCGACCAGTCACGGGTCTCCTAAAATTTTGTCGTCCCCTCAAAAACGACCTAAGGAACAATAGTCACTGTCTCGCCATGATCGTTCCTCGTTCTTTTGGCGTTTTAGGGCCATAAAACTGGAATTCCGCCCGATTCCTAGATTTTCTTGTGTTATAGCTCACGCCTTCTGCATAGGACCGGACAACGGGACCCGGATCGCCTAAGATTTTGTCGGCCCATCAAAAACGACCGAAGTAATAATTGTCACTGTCTCGCTATGACCGTTACTCATTTTTTGGCATATTAGGGCCATAAAACTTGAATTCTGCCCGATTTCCATATTTTTGTGTGTTATAGCGCACGCCTTCTGCATAAGCCCGGGCGATCAGAGACCCGAATCGCCTAAAATTTTGCCGACCCGTAAAAAATGACCTAAGGGACAATAGTCACCGCCTTGCCATGAACGTTACTCTTTTTTGGCATTTTAAGGCTATAAAACTGAAATTTCGCCTGATTCCCAAATTTGTGTGTGCTATAGCCCACGCCTACTGCATGGGCCGGGGCGACCGAATTCGGATCGCCTAAAATTTTTCCAGCCCATAGAAAACAATCTGAGGAACCATATTCACCACCCCGCCATGATTGTTCCTCGTTTTTGGTGTTTTACGGCCATAAAACTAATATTCTACCCGATTTCCAGATTTTCGCTTGTTATAAAACAGGCCTTCCGCGTGGGCCTGAGCCCCCGGACCGCCTAAAAATTTTCTAGACAATCAAATACGACCTAAGTAGCATTAGTCACCACCTCACCATGATCGTTCCTCGTTTTTTAACGTTCTAGGGCTGTAAAACTGAAATTCGACCCGATTTCCAAATTTTCATATGTTATAGCCTACACCATCTGCATGGGTCCGAAAAACCAGACCTGAATCACCCGAAATATTGATTTTTGTCGGTCCATCAAAAACGACCTAAGGAACAATAGTCATCGCCTCGTCAATCGTTCCTCGTTTTTTGGCCTTTTTCTAGCATTTTGGAAAAGAGAACTATCGTTTCCCACTAGCCCAAACCTTCTATAACCATAGCCTACCACCTATCTTCTCTAACATTTCCCTTTTCCTATTGGACTAATAAGGGGAAGGACAAGCTTAACTTTGGAGGGAAATTTCATGTAAGAGTTGTATTAGAAGAACAATAAATCTACCTACTACAAGAACAAGTACCAAATCTAGTTGAATAGTAATGATTAGTAGTGATCGAAACATCATATAGCTTTCCTGCAACAGTTTTCACCAACTGTAAAAAGCTTCAGCAGAGATACTAAACTCGCCTTTCGAATTAACCTCAATTCAGGTTTATTGTGGCAACCGCAATTTATTATAAGCCAATCATTGTAAAGATAAACGGAAAAGGCTTCAATTCAAAACTTAATGCAAGCATTAACAGGAAGAATATACTGAATTGTACCCACTATGCTATTTGTAGACCCATCAATGTACAAGAAAGTGCAAAGAAATCTTAAGGAAATTTATTTACTGTTGTCATCACCACCAAACTGAGTAGAGTTACCATTCCAGAATGTGTTTTTGTCACCAAACTGATTCTCGTCTTCATCATGTTTCAGAGTGTGGATGTTGCTTCCAAAGCGAGATGAAGCTGGCTTCGTACTTCTGTTATTACTTGTGGAAGTTATAGGAGTTTGGTATGGTTTACGTGCCAATGTCTGATTATTCTGAGGTGTGGGGTTTGGACCTGCATGTCATGAGGAGACAGTACTAAATTATCTCAGATTAGCAAAACCAAATTAACATGGCACAAAGGCATTCAACGCATGAATATATAAACATATTATCCAATGTCGAAGCCAAAAATCTATACAAGGGGTTTTAAGAAAATAGAATGTCACACCTTTTTTTTTTTTTTGATAAGGAGAATGTCACACCTTACATTTGAACATGTGACCTAAAGCAATTTTTTAATCTCCTTTACAACTTCACTAGAATTCTCCCGTGTAAAGAAAATTCAACAATTCATATGTAGCCTAAAAAATTCTTTTTACCTTATTTGCACAATGTAATTTACAACATAAGGGATTCAGTTGAACCCCCTTCCTCCTACCTAGTTCTGCCCTATCTTATCCATTTACAAAGAACATTTTTAATAGCATTGAAATAACAAAATCCCAAAACTCAGTTCCAGATAGCTGAGAGTGGATCTCGAAAAGCTCAATAACAAGCTTGTTACTTTATTTAGAACATGGAGAAACAACCACACCGGAGAGTCAAAAGTCGGGCACAAAATCACGAAAAATTGCTTTCACACAATATTAAGAGAAAATAAAGAGAACTTCTAGGAGGGGTAAATTTAGCCGAATAGTACAATTAAGGTTAAATGTAGACGATATCAAAAAGTAGAGGGGTAAATTTGGCCTTTTTCCCTATTTTTATTTCGCATAAATGTTGACCTAAGATGAATTTAAATGGAGAAAAATGGTGAGGAAGGATTCATATCGTCGGCCCCTAACACGTCAATAACTGAAGTGTAGGTGGTGTTGTATAGCAAAGATGCTGGGTAAAGTGTCTGTTAATGTGCGTCTTATAAGAATATTCAAGCAACACAAAAGTTGAACTCTTTACAGGACAAGGTGTCCTGAAGAGGATGGATCAGGAAAGAAGGTTTCTCTTCTTAAGAGTAACACATTAAAAATGAAGAAACTGCATGGAGACAAAGATCCAGAGCTCATTGGCTTAGGAAGGTGATAGAAATACTAGCTTCTTTCCTAAAGTAGCTAATGCACATAAAAGAAGCAACAACACTGACCAGTTAGTGATCCAGGAAAAAATAGTTGTGGAGCCAGGAAGAATCAAGAATGAGATTATTAACTTTTAGCAAAGATTATACATAGAGAAAGAAGAATGGAGACCTGCTAGTAGCTTTGTCAACTGTCTAGTTATAATTGAAGAAGAGAAGGAATGTTTACAAAGGCAACTCTGATAACAGGAGGTTTTTGGCTGCCTGAAGATGTGTGCCTTGGACAAAGCCCCCGGTCCTGATGGTTACAGGATGGGATATTTTATCAAATGTTAGGATGTGTTGAAGCAGGACATTATGGAAGCTTTCTATAATTTTCACTCGCAGGGAATTTCTGAGAAAAGTTCCACCTTACATAGCTCCGATTCCTAAGAAGACAGGAGCTAAAGAGTTGAGAGATTTTGGGCCTATAAGCTTAATAGGCAGTGCTTACAAATTGTTCTCAAAAGTTCTAACAGAAAGACTCAAAAGGGTGATAGATAAATTGGTGGACTCTCAACAGATGGCTTTCACCAAAAGAAGACAAATAATGGATGTTGCTTTAATTGTGTGGATTCTAGAATCAACCAGAAGAAGTCAGGAATTCTTTGTAAATTGGGCATAGAGAAGACTTATGACCATGTCAACCGGAAGATTTTTATTTATCTCAGAGGCATATCTTGGACAATGACTAGTAAGATTACTGAAGTACTCTTTAGCTGGGATGAAGCAGGAGTTGGAGCAAGGGAAAGAGATAGATGGAGATTCGGCCCAACCTGTATCTGGTGGACAACATGAAAACAGCAGCAATGCAGTACAGAAGATCAAACTGAATTGTATAGGCTTTTTTGTTTTAGTGTGAACAGGTTTACACAGAAGATACTGTCTCAATCATAGAAATTCTAGTCTCTTGCGGGGATTACTGGACAGTTTGTCTTCTATTTTTGCTCTCTTGTAAATATGGTTATTAATGTAGCGTTTTTAATATATTCAAATGTTACCATCTCAAAACAAAAGTTCTCACAGAGGTCAAAAAGAAAGGAGCGGAAATTACCATATTGCCATATGCTATTTTGAGAACCCTGAGCAGTGTCTGATGTGTTGGAACTTCCACCAAGATAAGATAAAGGATTCACATACGAAAAGAGCCTTCTGATCATAGAAAAATAGCCTTCATTGAATCCAATTGCTGAATGGTTACTCTCAGCAGAACTGCTTTGACCATGCAATGGTGTAACGTTCACTTTGTTATGACGAACGATTATAAGTGCTTGTCTATTGTGTAAACCCAAATCTGACAATGTTCTATCTAAATCTGTTCCATGTTTTAGGAAAAAAAGATGTCTTTCAGGTATAACAGCAATTTAATGCATACTCTCTAAAGTATCAGGCAATCAAGTAAATGGTATTAATAGCTGTAAAGCTCCAAAAAGAACTATAAGGATCAAATGAGACAGAAAATACGAATATTCTATTACCTCCATCACCAAAAACCTTGCGGGGATAAGGAACTGCTAGATCGTAAGAACCAAAGCTGCTTGTTTGGTTTTTATCAACATAGTCCTTGACCATTCTTAAGGTATCCATGACAAGGAACTTCACTTGTAAACTTGAACCGCTAGGTAATCTAATGTTTAAATAAACATCGTGAGATCTATTTGACGAGGCATCTGAAAAATCAGCTTTCTCAGCAGCTGCACCTTCAACTATTTTTATCTCAGGACCTTTCCTTGCCTTCTTGGCGATCTCTCCGGGAGCTTCCTCATTAGGATACATGAGTTGATCATGCAAATCAGGATTCTCTTTTGACATTGAATATGCACCTATAGTCTTGGTTGAATCTACCCCCACAAGATCAAGTGGCTTTTCTGCTATTGTGATCGCACCGGTAGACTCATTGAACTCGCCAACTCTGGATTCAAAAGCATCAGCTGATCCATGAGAAGCCATGTCAATCACCAAGGAATCTATCTCCTGCAAAGTAGTTAAATTAAAAAATTATGCAGGACAATAGTGAATAAAGGTCTGAAAGCCAGTAAATGGGATTTACTGTAGCAGCACGTCCACGGTCCTCTTCCTCTACTATCTGATTGTTGTTAGACGATGTAGCCATTGAAGATTGTATCTGTGTCTCTGCCTGAGCTGATGAAACTTGAGCATTTGAAGAACTCCCTACTTCAGAGGTTACAGAAGAAGCTCCAGGTACAAGCTCTTTCTTTGAAGCAAGTGCAGCAGTCAAGAAAGTAGCTGTTGTCTCCTGCAGTTAATAATAAAAATTTGATACAAAAGGACCAAGGTCAGATTGCACCTATTTCAAGGACCAACATAATAAACTAAGTGGAGCATCCCAAAATCATGAAGCGGGTAACACTGTAGACCTCTATCATGAAGGAAATTCAGTGCTTCCTAACATGCTAAACAGCAACCCCATGAGCTTAAACCCAAATCTGAACTAATTATTTCAGCCTCCAATTGAGTATGTTATGCTAAACACGGTTTATGAAGTAATGAAATGTAAAAGTGAACAGCTAGCGAAACAACATCCAACCTTCGCATTTTTCCTTCAGATTACAGGGCAGAGTAGGGGAAAAAATGGCAGAGAGAAACATAGGCAAGAGTATTCACCTTATCAACAAGGGGAAAAGGTCATAATTACCCTTGTACTTTGTGAAAAGGTCGACATTACCCTACGTTATAAGTTTGGCTCACTGGTGCCCCTGCCGTTAAACTTTTGGCACACATTTGCCCCTGTGGTTCGTGAAAAGTTTACTTTCACACTTTTTCACTAACGGAGGAAAAGAAAACTCTCTCACAAACCACAGGGCAAATGTGTGCCAAAAGTTTAACGACAGGGGCACTAGTGAGCCAAACTTCAAACGGAGGGTAAATGTAGACCTTTTCGTGAAGTACATGGGTAAATATGGCATTTTCCCTAACAACATTGGTTGAACTGACTTGTCAAACCAATTACAGCAGCAAAGGAGACAAGGATAAACAAATTGAGGGTTTAATTATTTTTGGTTTAGCAGGGATAAGAATAGCAATTTAGAGGCTGATTTTAGATAGCTTTGTAGCTGAATTACAGAAAGCTGTAAGCAATACCCTTGAGAGGATGACTTTGTAGATTTTGAATCACGGAAATGACTTGATTTAGCCACAGCTATAAGGCTATACATGCAGCACATGGATGATAATTGAAGCTCTTGTAGCGAAGCATCGTGAAGAACCAAAGAGCAACCAAATTTGTAGAAATAAATTAACTCTTGATTCTTGAATTCCTGGTTGCCACTTAGCCGAACTGCCTATTCTAAATATCATGCACAAAATTTGCTCCCTCGGTGACTCAAACCCACAACCTAAAGGTTGAAGGTGGAGGCGGAGGTGGCTTTCCACTTAAGCTACCCTCTCTTGTCAGATGATACAAAACTTCTTTTCTTTCCGGTAATTCACATATATTGCACAAAATTTGAACAGTATACAATACAACATAACGAAGACACAAAAATGATGAGGGAAAGTAGCACAAACTCCCCCTGAGGTTTGGACTTGTCACACATACCTTCCTTTTTGGTTTCAAATTTCACACCAAAAAAACCCTTTTTGGTTTTATGAAACAAAACTATATTATAATACACAAAGAGACACTTGATGGATAATGGGTCTGTCTCTATTAAAAAGAAAAGGGGGGGGGGGGNGTTAATTTTATTCTTTTCTTTAGCAACTCTATATCCTCATTCAAGTTCTTCAAGTGATTTTTGCTTAATCAAAAAGGTTAATAAAAAAAGAACCAAAAAACTAACAGGTTTTGCAAAATCAAGATAGAAAGGCAGGTTTAAAAGAGAGCAGAAAGCTTTTTCTCATTAAATCTGCATTTTCACTTTTTTTTGTCATTTCTATTTTCATCATCATTGTTTATACAGATAAGGACCAAAATGCTCTTATACTATTGGAACTAGAGCATATTTGCCCTCTGTTTGAGTTTTGGCCCAAAAATGACCTTGTTGCAACCCAACTAGCTCATATATGCCCTTCTAAGTTAACAGACCTCCAGGGGCAATATCCATGTTTAAAAATTATTTTTTTGCTTAAATTGAGCTCCACATTGGAAACCCCCCAACCCCCTTCCCACATAGGTCTAATATTTAGATTCTTCTCTTCCATTAATAAAATCTCTTCTTGCTTCTTCATCTTGAAATCATTGTGCGAAATTCCATTTTCAATGTCTGAAGCGTCCATGTGGTGTTTCTCTCTCTTCGGAAATTGAGCTTTGAACCTTCGAAGTCACTAATCGAGTTCAGAAATGGTCTCTTCGACTTATCATGCAGCTAGATATCCCTTGGGTAGAGAAGTTCCGACCCGCCAAGGTATAGGACGTTGTGAGCAACGAAGATGCTGTCACCTGGGGCTCCAAGTTATTGTTCGCGATGGCAACATGCCCGATCTTATCTTAGCCATAAGCAATTTCCCACTTTCCCTTTTCCACATTTTCATCCCAATTTTGCTACTTTTTTTAATGAAAAACATTGGTAAATCTTTATGTTTAACAAAGACTAACTTTTGCTCCATTTATGGATAATAAGAAACTTTTATTTTTCTGGGTTTGAGGTTTTACGTAGAGGTTAATACAGTGATAGACCCATCTTCTAATGGTTCTCGATTTGGCTGGTCTTTTACGTAGGGTTTTTCGCAAGTTTCAACTATGTTATATGCTATTCCCACTATTTACGTTTGAACTATGAAGATAAGGAAGTGAGGAGGACTTTTGTCAATTGAGGAGAAGAATTTGATATTAGACGTGTGTGTGGTTGGGGGGAGTGGTTCGAATGTGGAGCTCATTTTAAGCATTATTATTTTAAACATGGATATTGAGGTCTGCTAACTCGAACGGGCATATATGAGCTAGTTGGGTAACGGCAAGGTCCATTTTGGGCCAGAACTCAAACGGAGGACAAATATGCTCTATTTTCAATAGTATAAGGGCATTTTTGGCCCTTCTCCGTTGTTTATATAATTTAAGAAGTCAAGGGGCATGATACTTTATAAATAAAGAAGTTGAGTAGCATGAATCTAAAGATATGCATTAAGATAAAATAATTATTAAATAAATAGAAAAAAGCAAAAAGCTTACCAGAAAGTAGAGGAAAGATTTGTTTAAAACAAAAGAGAATACAACAGAGTAGCAAAGAGAAGTCCACAAGCTGAAGTAGCAAAACAAGAGAATGTGCACACCAGAAGAAAAAGAAGAAAGACTAGAGGCAAACAAAAAGAAAACAAAAGAAGCACATCAAAAGAAATAGAAAGACAGAAGTAATATAAAAGTCATTGCAAACTAGACTAAAAAATAACAAGTCAAAGAAAACACTGATGTTTACATGGAGAGGTCTCCTAACACAGATATAGCCTCTATGTTTTTCTTCTCCTTCCCTTTCCTTCTTCTAAAGAACCATCCACAGAAAGAACACTTCTTGCTAAAGATAATTTTCCGCCTACCACGTATACCATCCAAAGCGCACGTCTCATCTTGTAACCACTCACAAAAGTGATGTTTTGCAATGCTTCACTTTTAAATGAAAATGTTTTCTTTTTTTGAATATGTAAATGGAAATGAAATTTAGCTATAATTCATTCTCGTTTTTCCTTCATTATGAAACTAATAATCCATTGACGTAATGGGAATAACTCTGCCTACAAAAGAAAACAATGTTAACAAAAACAAGATTCTTCATTTGTGATACAATGCATCACTTTGTCCAACTAGTTTGTTGCTGAAAATGTGTGGACATTTGGAGATGAATAGTGCGTGTGATAACATGGGTTAGAGAGAAGGTCTGCTTTCTCTCTAAAACTCCAACCACCCGAAATTCAAATCTACAAACACTGTCACCACATTTCCCTCAAATATTCTGACTACAACCCAACATTATATCCTCCTCTTCCAGTTATTCCAATAAAGTTCCTCAACATCTCAAACAAGTAGGTTGACTCAAAAAAAGATTTCGACTAAGTGAATCCGGGAAGAAAGAAACCATAGTTTTGAGTCGATCCAGGATGAGGTGGCTGTTGTTAGGGTGGGGGATCCTCAGTATTTTATGGAGACTTTATTGTCACTAGACATATAATGAAAAGAAGCAAAAACATAAGAATATTCAGAAAATAATAGAACTATCAGATTTCATTGAAGATTTAGAGCTAGTAGAGTGTAGACTCCCCCCTCTGGATGGGGCACAAGAATAATTCTGTGTATCCCACTTAAAGGGGAATATTTTTTTTTATGGATTAACATGTAATTTTCTACCGATTCAACACAAGTCACAATTCTAGCAATTACTCACACTCACAATGCAGAATCTAGTTGTCTAAAAAGTCTTAAAAGAATGGCTCAAAACAAGTAATCCCCTCCATTTTGCTCAGTGTAAACTGTAAAGCTAGTAGTCTCCTAGTAAAACCATCCATCACGACTATTGGGAACAAAATCAAGAAATTCAGATAATATCTCCAGCACCAGAACAAAATTCCATGGCAATAAAGACCATGACATCATAAATACCTGAACATGAAGACTTAACCACGCCTTCTCAAGACTAGATGCAAGATTATCAGCAGAAACAAAACCCTCTGAAAAATTAGATACAGAATTAAGAAACCAGAAAGAGACACAACAAGTCAGTTACATCTCAAACAGCTAACCATACCATGTTGCCAAAGTTGAACACCATTGTATCCAATAGCTGTAATACAAGGGGCGGCCTTCTGTGGATCTATGAAGATCAATGTAAGGATATATCTACGTGAAAAGTGCATAGCAACAGCATGACATTGACAGCAAGATTTGCCCAATTTTAAGACTCTCAAGCAAGAAAGAATTCACAAAGTTTTAAATGGTTTTGACAAGATTCCCATGGTAGACCGTTGTCAATACTGAACTCCTCAATTTTCATACTAAAGCAGGTTTTCCATGTATTACGAGAGGAACATTGCTAATAAATATAAAGGGTAAACACGTGTTGAAGTACTTGTACTCTGGAAACTATGCATAACATTTCTTTTCTACTTCTCCCACTGTGTATTGAGGAGAGGTGATTAGGCATGATATGACGATTTTCAGCTTACAGCATGACCCTTAATAGGAGGTTGTAGAAGTCGAAGCTTAGGGTAGAAGGTTAGTAGGCAGTAAAGCGTATTTCCCTTACATACCGGTACCTTTAATATTACTCTAGTTGTGGCCTATTCTTGGATTCATACTATTACCTGATATTGTTTTTATTTTGGTTTGTTAATATCCCGCTATTGTTGTTGTTTCCTCTCCATGACTTGTTCATTTTTTATATTACATTTCTTTAGTGTTGATATTGTGCTTACCTGAGTCAAGGGTCTATCGGAAACAGCATCTTTACCTGCACAAGGTAAGGATAAGGTTTGCGTACACAATACCCTCCCCAGACCCCCACTTGTGGGAATATACTAGGTATGTTGTTGTTGTTGTTTGTTCTCCCACTGTCTTTGCCCCTTCCAAGTTCGAATAGTACAAGTCCATATTTAAAGAAGATAAACTAGTACCCGGACCCAACAAATCATTCAAAACGGGATATGCATTTGAATATGCATACAAAAATAAGGTGAAGAAATAAGTCCATTGTGCCCAATTATAGAAATAACTACTACATTTATGCACCTGAAACTTTATCTACCAGGCCTCATGCAAAACACCCTCCCAAGTTAGCACAAGGGAGAAAGTGTAATCAAAATTCTTTAGAATACAATTCATCGTTACCCCTTTCAATCTTCTTGCATCAATTGATTCTTTTTTCTTTAAGAATGAGTAATTATATCATTAACATTGCACCAAGAAGATGCAGTCAAAAGCATTTACAGATCAAGATCAAAAGTATGTCCCTTTTCTATTCCTAGAGAGATCCTATCAAGTCTTTTTTGGGGTAATTAAAGATGTTATTACCAAGTGGAACTATGTACAGAACAAGTAAAGCAAACTGAAGTGTGACATCATGACTCTGCTCGAAGCTTCTTTAACTAACGCCATTTACACAATTTCAGCTAGAAAACCTCAATAAAACCAGGTCCTAGAATTCCTTGTTTATGTTATCCAGCGTGAGCTCCATGGTACTCCTAGAAGAAAAATATCCCCACCCTCTCAGATTACGTGCAATTAATAGCCAAAGAAAAGAGAACTCCCTGCACCGACAAAGAGAGGGATGTGTAGAAAAAAAGAGAAATAAAAAGAAGAATAGCAAGTATGTCAAGGTTTAAGAAGGGAGGAAGAAGCTAGCTACAGGGTAAAGGATACACAGTGCTGAGAAGTTTTTGGCATCAGTACTTTCTTCTAGGATGTGCAACAAAATGCAGTATTTTGATATAGAATCAGCAACCTGAGCAATTACAAGAAGGACGAGAAAGTGAACTCACTATCCAAGGGCCAAAAGTATCAAATCTAATAACATTCTAGGAAGCGACAGCGTAAGGATAAATCTACTCTTGGGTCCGGCCAAGTTGATGCGTCCAATTGGTTTGATTCCATATTGCCACCTAGGACACAAATTTAAAAAATACAATCAGGATGACAAGTATAATGATTTTTGCATTTCATAAGCATCAAAGTCATTTCTCATATACCCAATCCCTCTCACTAAAGAACTAAGAAAAGAATAAAGTAAAAGGATAAAGTAAGAATGACAAATATATTTTGCAAGAATATATGCTGAAGATAACACAAAAACAGGAAAAGCAAAATTAGTTTTTTTTTTTTGGTTGTAATAGGAACTTTTCATTCATTAACTAATACTATTACATATAGTAAGAGTCCTGTTGGGCTCAGTCATTGGTACTGCCACCATATTGTCGACATTAGTTATTAAATTCTTATGATGATTCTTGTAAAATCAGCTAATTATTCTTGTAAACAGCTCCATATAGCATCTGTATGAAAAAAATTTAACAATTCACCCTAATTCACGAAGTCAGAAAATGGACCCGCCAATTAGACTATTTTGTTATCCTCAACAATGTCGCTAGGTAATGCAATGTCCTTGGGAAATTGTGGAATAGTAAATTATCAAAAATGATTTTAACATTTTCTCCTACAGTAAGCAATTTTATTCAAAGAGGATTAAACTTGATTGAATATACAACCTCCAACAACTTACTACTCATTTTTCATCATGTGTACTTTGTTAACAATTGGTATTCCATTGCATTAATTGTTTAAGCAATGGGTGAATTATGTAAAACTGCATATTGCATAATAAAAAAAATTCAAAATTAAGCAAGTAAAGGGTAACTAAAGCAGCCTATCCCATCTGCACTTCTTCTATCCTTCTACCAACATGGAATATATAGTATTAGATATTGTTCAGGAAGATGTTGTGATGGCACCTCAAATCCAAAGCACTCACTCACAGCTAAATGCTTGCTCAACATTTTTTTGCAGGACAAAATTGTCCCCACTAAATGGCAGTGGACACTTTTTTTCTGGACAAAATTGTCCCCACTAAATAGTACGGGACACTTTTGGATTTATAAGCACTCTTGTTCAAGATTGAGATATTATTTTGGGGCAAACAATGCTCTTGATTTTGTTCTTTTGTAACTATGCCTCTTGTAACTTTGCATCTTCTTGATGCATTTTTTTAATGAAACACATTACTTCATCCAAAAAAAAGATATTGTTCAGGACAAACAGATTAAGTTGCAATCAAACGCTTCCATTTTCAGTTGAGTGGGAGAATATGTTTCCCCGGGTCAGTCAATAACAATTATCTTGAGTCTAACCACTACCATGTTACCCTAGAGTCCAGCCGAGCTACTAGGGAACCTGCTGTCATTCTATGTCTTCAACCTTGGTGCAACATCACCCAAATCTCTCTAACATCAGGTTCTTTTAGGACACTAATGGAAACTATAGCATAAATAAATTGCAGAGAAATGGAAACTATTTACCTGAAACATAAACCAGAAAAAGCTTCTTCTGCTGCTTGGCTTCAGCGATGGCTTCTATAATAGAACCATTGAACACAAGTGAAGATAAAGGTCGCTCCATCTATTATAAGAGGAAAATATAAACTTCATTATTCCTTCATGATGATATGATCCAGCTTCAGGGTGACAAAGAAAGATTAAGATTCTACAGAAAAGAAAGTAACAAAAAAGAAATAAGCAAAGACAAAGAAATACTCATAGAATCATCCATAATTCAAACAAAAGTACACAAGACAAACACAGGCCTGTGCAAAAGTAGATCTTAGAGATCTATGAATGACTTCAAAACTATATTTGTAAATTCTAATTTTTTGAGATTCTAACATTAGTGAAGAAAAGCAAGAGACTCTAACATGGTAAAGGACTTTGTTTCCTTATGATGCAGCAGTAATCTACTCAAGTTTGGCTTACCAATAATTGGTATCCCCATTAACAAGCACTTTATCTCTGATTCTCCACAAGATAGGCGAATGAGGCTTTTTTTTTTTGGGGNTAACAAAAGTGAGTTGCTAGCCCTATACAATGTCTGACAGAGTGTTTTAGCGATAGCATCGATTAGTCTTAAACAAAATGAGTGCAAAATGAAGACTTCTGAATTAAAATATTACATTGACCTTTGCTTCGACCTCACTGTACGATTGAACTTCGGCCTAAAGCCCATAACAATACCAAAATCAGCGGGTTAAAATTGAGTATCCAAACTATTGAATGTACTTTTCTCCTTTGGTTCCTATTGATATGGTTTAGTGGGTTTTAGAAGCGTATTTCTCCTCAAATGTTTCGTTGAGAAGAATCGACTCCCTCTATCATCTATCCCAAGTTTGGGTCACTTTGATATTTCTAGAAAGGGAAGTTATACGTATATTTTTTTTCTTTTAAATTTCTGCTTCGCTTGTAGGTGAACGGCTATGATCCTTGGGCAACATTCTATTACAGAAGGAAAACTTCACTATTACTATGGAACATAGATATTTGTGCTCACCCCAAAGAAAATTATCCTCCCTCTCTCTTAACTCTTCGAGAACTTTTTCCTTTTCTTCCTCTTCTTTTCTCCCCTCACACTTCTCTCCTTCCTCCTAATTTGCCGATGATCAGCTTTTTGACGATCTCCTTCAAACTACCCATGAACAGGAAATCTTCATCGATGGTAACAAATCTTTTGAGATCAACGAAAGGTCATTAGAATCTAATATTTGGTGAATAGATTGAAAGCAAACCTAGTTTTGTTAGCAATATCTTCATCAATTTTTTCTTTTGGCCTCGAGAGATATGGAAAGGAAAAGACCACTCTTCTATGGGTCTATCAAGTCTTTCTTCTGGCCTCCGAGAAATATAGAACGGTCATCAATAAGTATACAACCAGGGAAAACTTCTTAGATATCTCAGGTTTTCAGAATTTCAACAGATTTGGGTGAAACATGAGAGTTGTTAAGTCCTCAAATTTTAGAAGAAGAACAACCATTATATTCTCCACCAATGTTGGCAGGTCAGACTTTGCTAATAAGTTATGGAGGTTTTCTGAAGGTTCTACCAATTTAATCCACAAGCCAGCACCAAAGAGTTTCACAAATACTACCAAGATCCCTGCTGGACCACCAACCTTGTTCTTCCAAAAATATCTGATTCTGATGGTTTTGAATCTCTACTAATGATGATTCTACTCATTCAAGACAATTTTTCCTTAAAAGATGTCTTGTGGGTAGCCCCAAGCTTTGGCCTAGTGGTAAGAGTGTAGCGGGTGATGTGCGGTTAAGCACACGTCACGGATTAAAACCCTACTGCGTACAAAAACTTGTATTTAAATGGAGAAGGATAGAGGAGAACACTTTATCCAACAAGTTTCGAATTGTGCATCACTGGCCCTCAAGGACTTCTTGATTATCGAAACAAAACAAAAAAAAGAAAAAAGAAAAAGAAATCGGGTACTTTTCTGCCATTAAAGCTCCCTCTTTAATGGACATTCTCTCATGGGCCTTCAGAAAGTGGTAGGTTTATGCCAATGTTGAAGAAATTTCAACAATTGCTTTCTCCTGGAATGTCTTTCTATGGATGGTGTTTCCCATATTTTAAGTTTGGACTGGTGCAAAGGTGGACATTGAGTAGGGCTACGATGGTAGTAATCTGACCTTGGTCTCTTAGGGAAAACCGTAAGATCGTCAATACATGGGTTAAACTTATTAACGTTCCTGAACATATCTGTCGAAGGTTTTTTCAACGATCGAAAAAGTTTAGTAGGTTGACGGTGATTGACCAGCTCACAGTTGACAAAAGTGTCCTCAAATGGGCCAAAATCCAAGTTAGAAATCCCCTACTAATCCTCAAAACTTTGTAAAGTTCAATGTTGACGGAAGAGAAATAGGACCCCCCTTCATACTACCTTTGTTGATCCTCCATCATCAACCAAATGAAGAAACAATGTTTTATAGGGTCCAAAATGTGGTCCTTTAGATATTGATGATGGAATAGTTTTTTCTACACCGCCTTAAACATGTAACACATCCCTTCTCACATGGCAGAGGTTGAATTTTCAAATTAAACAGTTTCAAGCCGGAGTCAATCAGATTAGGCGGTGCCCGTATTTCACCTCATTCCTTTGGACCTAACCATTTTGCTCAAGCCCACAAATCCATAAGCCTTAAACCCATATTCCCACTTAACCAAAAAATCCCTCTCCAAATCTCTTTCTTTTGGACTTAGTCCCTGTAACCAAACTGAACCTTAAAAACTCCCTCATTGTCTCCTCACTCTGACTTAACCCATCAACCTACAGTAACCCACTTCCCCCCTCAAACACTTCTCCGCCTTGAATAATCTTTGTTCATTTCATTATGAATACATTTAGCTCCATTCAAGTCCTCAGTCAACCCCCTTTTTTAATCCCACTTCTCAAGTGAGTCTCTCTTTCTTGTTCTGGTTTCATCTCTTACCAGTTGCCAGTAAATTTAAACACCACCTTCAGATTTCTAATTCAGCTCATATGGACATCAAGCACTCCAGAATTTCTCACCCTCTCCGTCTGTCTTCCTTCACCTGTGAAAGCAATACCCATAGTCTTCAAATGGGAGAGATTTAGGATATCACTCCAATGCCTTTTATTGAAAATAAACTTTCACAACCACGACGTGATTATGTAACAAACAATCCAATTATTTTTGCCCTTTAAATTGGAAAGTTGTTACCAAAGATAAGAGCATGGTGGTCTTGATATTAAGAATCTTAAGAGACACAATAAAAGTCTCTTAATGAAATGGCACTGGAGATTCGGCCTGGAGAAGAATGCATCAATGCACTCAGGAGGAGAATATTGGTGAAAACATTCACTCTTGAAGGTCCTTGGCACACTAATATCTCAAAGGTTTCATAGTAAGTATTGGGATAATTTTACGGCACACACGGTCTTCTACTTGCTAATAGAAGAAAAATCAGACTTTGGAAGGATGCATGGTTGGGTCATACCCTCTAAAAGACCTCTTCTCTTTCCAGATATTTTCTGCCTAGCTTCACTTCATGATGGCTCAGTTGCTGAATTTTCCTCTCCACAAGGTTGGAATCTATTTCTGAGGAGGACTATTAGTAACTGGGAAGTAGAAAGGATAAGTCTCTTATCTCAACGTTTGAGCAATTTGGTTTTGGACCTATATAAGCATGCTGATATCAAATGGAAAGACATCTTAAGGGCCTCCTCTTAGTGCAGTCAAGCAACAAACTGTTGGAGTCTACCAACAACATAAGCTTCTGCCCATGGAAGAAGATTCGCTTTGACAAAGCCCCCTCCCCCCCACCCAAAAAAGTAGCTTTGCTTCTCTTGNAAAGGGGAATTCAACTTTCTTATAGATGTCCTTTGTATGAAGAGCATTCTGAAGATATCCACCACCTCAGTTTGCATTACAGATCACAAGTCAATGTCGGAGCATTTTTTTGCAATTCTTGACATGAGTTGGACAATGCCAAACTCCATCGCAAATCTTCTGTTATGCTGGAAAAAAGAGGGACTACAACAACAACAACAACAACCGCCCAATGAAATCCCACAAGTGGGGTCTGGGTGGAAAAAAGAGGGACAATACAAGAGAAATCAGAAAACTTGAAACAATATACCTCAACTCACCTGATGGACTCTTTGGCTTGAAAGAAACAACATAATTTTTTAAGACAAAAGAAAGAATATACTTACTTATACATAGATCTATTTCTTTGTTAGGTTTTGGTGCAACTCCCCCTTGTATATGATGTATATTTAGTACTAGATATGATAGAGGAATTGCACAATCTGTAATTATTCCTTGTAGCACTTTATTACAGCAAGTTTACCATTTATAAAATCTTCTCATTGCTTATCAAGGAAAAATAAAAATTCACATTCTTCTTATTCTAAATAAGAACAAAGGAAAATTGAGTAAAATCTGAAATTTCACATCAATTATGAAGGCAGCGTGAGTCGCAAGAAAGGCAGGAAAGTCCCATCAACATCCTTCTTGCCATAACATTGGCATTGCCGACATTTTGTTTCTTCGAGAGGCAAATTCAACAATGGGATCCGAAAATGGCAGGCCAGCTTTTGGCTAACAGATGGTCTTATTTTATTTCTTTGGAAGCGGATGGATTTTAAAAAAGGCGTGTTTTATATGGGATAGATGGGTATGACAGTCGAGGTAATACTAAAAGGCTATATCTCTTTATCTATTTCATTATCTAATGGAGCAAAAAAAAATTGTTGTGACATTTATGGCGTATATGCCCCTAATAATAGAATGGAGAGACAGGAATTGTGGCTCGAACTCTCGGTTGTTATGGTTTATATGATGGGCCTCCGGTCTTATGCAGGAATTTCAATGTTACTAGATTCACATTCAAAAGAAGGCACAGTGATCCTATTGAAGTGTGTGACCATCTCAACTAAAAGATTAAGCCGTTAGAAAGAGCACAGTTTTATTTATTTAATTATGTCTTCAATACGCCCCTCCAAGTGCGGGCTTCATTCTTGTTGATGAGCCAAGGACGTGGAAATACTTAATTGATGATAAAAGCAATGGACAGATACACTGATTTGTACAAGGCATTACCCTACTATGGTAAGCTATAGATAAAATCAAACTAAGTTTCCAAACTGCACACATATACTAACCCTTAACTTGTTGAATTCCAACTAACTTAAGCTTCCAAATTAATTGGAGCAAAATTTGGAATATACAATTGGATCAAAAGAAGACATGTATATTTTGCTTCATTCTAAGATATCTTTGTTAACATATCAATCAGATGTAGCAAAAAAACATTATTACCAATGTGCCAATTTATATACCACTTTTCTATTTAGGATTTTCAAAAGTGTTAGACACTACTTGACAAATAACATTATTAACACAACTTTCATGAGTTTCAACAATGCAAATACATTTGACTAATCCGTTTTATACTTTGATGTAATGTTTCATCCCGTCCAATTGACGTTTAATATTCTCTTCTACTACTACTTATATGTCATAACTATTTGAAATTTAAGATAATTGAGTAATCATCATCTGGCCTCAGGTGCCAAAATCGTTCCCTCCGATCGTGCTAGATGATTTCAATTTCCACCGGTCCATCAAACAACATGACAGAAAAAAAAAAAAACTGAAAGAAAAACTAAATTCAACTTGATAAAACGGATTGAGGGTTTTTGTATCCTGAGAGAGGGCAAAAAGGAAATTCGGGAAGGGATGAGAGAAAGAAAAGGTAAACTCACAACTTGACTTCGCCGGAGAAAAACGTTAGCTTCGTCGAAACAAAATCAATGGGAATTCGGGTCGTAATTTAATGTGAATATTCTTTGTGGCAGGGGTGTTATAACACAAGGAAACCCCGTAAATACGAATTTATTGTTATAAATATATTATATTATGAATGTTCATTTACTATCCTTTATAAATGAGCTTCTTGGAAACGTTTATTCATATGGGTGGGACTCCCGTAAATATGTTTATCTATTTAGTACTCTATTTTCGGTACCCGGTTATGGATAAATATTACCCCGGTAAAAGATTATCCATATCGGGTATAATAAGTTTATCCTTTCAGTACCCAGTTATGGATAAACATTACCCCGATAGAAGATTATCCATACCGGGTATAATAAGTTTATCCTTTCAGTACCCAGTTATGGATAAACATTACCCCAGTAAAAGATTATCCATATCGGGTATAATAAGTTTATCCTTTCAGTACTCCGTTATGGATAAACATTGCTCTCAGTAGAAGATTATCCATATCTGGTATAGTAGCAGCTTACACAACAGCTTCCTTTCTTCTATAAATAGAAGAGATTTCAGTTCATTATGTACATCAGTTTGAATTCGAATAATATAACAGTTTCTCTCTATACTTGTCTTTACTTTACAGTCTTTATTTTATAACACGTTATCAGCACGAGACTCTGACATCTCGAGCAAATACTTTGAAAGTATTAGAGGTAAGAACTTTCTTTTCCTAAATAATGTCAAATCTTTCTAAACTTGAATTTGTAGCCCTGGATATATCGGGCAAAAGCTACATGTCTTGGGTGCTTGATGCTGAAATT